TCATGAGGGGCTTTTAAAGCGCCGACTGTGTCGCACCTGCAGATCCACAAGGGAGCACAGGGTGTCCTCTGGTGAATTGAGAACAGCTTCTCTCTTTTTCTTTTTCAATTTCACTGCTATTCAGATTTAATATTCTTTTTAGCAAGCTGGCCAGCACAAAGGCAGACAGAATTTAAGGCAATGTTTGGTGATCACACTTTTTCCTGCTGTTGCCACCCACTCAACGTGATTTCTGAATCAAATCTAAGAGCCAGCGATTATTACTTTTCAAATCGATGTTGAATGTCGGACCAACGTTCGTTGCTATTTGCAGCTGAATTGGGGGTTTTACTCTCCAGAGAAATGTTTGTGTCCGAAATAAGCTTTCCACACATCCCCTGCCCCCGCTCTGCTACTGTGGGGATCTGCTCTTTTTCTCCCAAACTTTCATTCCCCATCTCTTCCTGGATGTCACTTTCTTCTGCCTCTTGCTCTCTCCTCAGCCCATCTCACCCTGCGTCCTCTCTTTCTTCAAGTGGCGTCTCCCAGCTTTCTCTGCGGGTATCTTCCTCCTCGTATAGCTCTACTGCTGTACGAGCCTTCAAACTGGCAAACAGTCATGCGGCTCTCCTATCACAATATAATGAGATTGCAAGCGCCCAAATTGAAAGAAGCCATTTTCTACAGCTGTCAACTTATTATCGAGGAGGGACCGACTTATTCTGGCGCCTCTAAAGGCAGCAGAGGAGAGAGAGGGATAGAGGTGATGGAGAGATCGAAGGGAGCAGGTTTTGAAAAATGGAGGGGGAGGAATGTGGGGAGCTGTTTTACATTTAATATTTTTCTTTTTCCGCTCTCTCCCTGTCCCTCTGGTATTTCAGTTTGGTCACTAGCACAGCCTTGAAGACCGGGTCTTTTATTCACCATGTTCTTGTTAATATTTTAAACAGCACCGTGTAAGGCTTTCTAGGCCTGTGAACGTATGCGCCCGTTTGAGCGCCTCTCATCAAGTGTGAGTGTTTATTCTCCATCCTCATGACTATTTATACAAACAGCAGGTACTGGATATTTGTTTCTGAGGGAATGGATTTCTCTATTTTGGCCAAGCTTCTCCTGGCCCATTTAAAATTCATGCATTTAGGTATTGCTTTTATCCGTAGCACCTCCTAATGAGTGAGCGGTGTCTGAGTGGCTCCGTGGATCTAACCTGTTATTTTCTGGACAGGCTTCTAGTGCAATTCATTTTTTTCTTTTCCAGTTGTTTATTGTAAACTGCAGGGAGGAGCATGGGCACAGCTCTAAAAGAAAAAAAGTGAAATAAGGTGAGGAAAAGTTCTGTTGACGCACCTTTTACACGGCCGTGAAATACTTTGATGGTCAGATATGCATGGCCGACTGAAGGGACAGAGCTGAAAGGAGCGTATTCTCCTCAGCAGAAGGGGAGCAGCAGCTCCTTTCCAAAGACATGCAAACAGACATGAGCGCAGCATTGACGCCCCAGTCGCATCCTTTAAATGTCATACGTTGGCCCGAATGGTTGCAGAGCTGGTTTAGGAGGTTTTGAAGATTCAGTGCACAAGCTGTCAGTCATCACAAGCATCTGCTGGGTCCGATGGCAGTGCTGAGTTTGTTCTTATTTCCAAACAGGACAGCTGATTCTACTTGACATTGTCACAAGAGGGTTTTCCCTCGTCTTTCAGACCTAATTCTGCTTTCATTCTGCGGTGATTGGGGTAACATGCTCTGTTTGTGCGTCCATATTGAGCTGTAGCGTAGTGTGACGTTAATCCAGCTTTTTATTAATGAGCCAGGCTGGTGAGGTTTTTATTCCCGTGAGCTGGTTTACTTTTTGTCTGCCAGTTAGTAGGTTTATTAAAATGATTTAACACTAGGGCTGGGCGATATGGCCTAAAATTTATATCACGATACAATTTGAAGCATGTGCGGTAACGATATATATCACGATATATTCTTTTCTTCTGTATAACGTATTTTCCACACTATAAGGCACACTTAAAATCCTTTAATTTTCTCAGAAATCGAGAG